ACCGTGCCCGTGGCACGGCGGGGATGCACCAAGCGGGAGCTGACCCTGCGCTCCCGTCGCACGTTGTCATTGCCTTGCTGCGGGACCGCAGCAAGTCCCTTCCCATCTGCTCTCTGCCGTCACCTCGGAGGCAGGACGTGTGCGAGTGTGTGCGTGGGCACGGAGCAGAGCGCAACAGGGCCACGGCTGCAGGGTGGTGGCTGCCGGCTCTTCCCAAAACCAGCGTTTAGCCGATGCTCTCAAGCATCCTCCGTACCCAGACCCTCATCCAACCTCTCAGCACCCCAGGGATGGAGCGGGACCTCCCCGGGGCTATTTTGCACCAGGGGAAGGTTTGCCAGCTGGGCACTGCTGGGTCTCATTGGCAGCCTGGTGATGTCCCCACGGCCAAAAGCACCGCTCAGTCTCCTCCCCACCTGAGGCATGAAGACAAACAGGCGTCCAGGCTGCTCGCCTGGATGGATAGCAGGATGCTGGACTGCTCCATTTGGGAAACACCTTGATTGGTGCGTGTAAAAGCATCCCAGGAGTTCAACCCTGTCCCTTTGCACCGGGAAGACAAGGGACCTCCTCCTTCTTTGAACTGGTGCAACGGGAGGAGGTGACAGCACATTACAGAAGGCTCCCCTCTGCCCAGCACAAGGGAATGTCTACCGGTGTCACCCAGAGGACCGAAATTAGAAGGCATATCTCCAAGGATGGGTCTTCAGCTGAGCAGCAAGATCCTCCACCCCAGGACCACCCCTCACCCTCCCATCCCCATCCCCGGGGCCCCGAGGGGACGGGAAGGGGATGGGAGAGGACATACGGTTCGACTTTGTTGAAGAAGCGGCGCCGCAGCATCATGACCAGCGTGCCGAGGAGCAGGATGGTGGTGCACATGGCGCTTCCTCCATCACCACGCAGCGCCGCTGGCCCCTCGTGTCCCTCCCGGAGGCACCACTCAGCCCGGGGCTGTCACCCGTGCCCGGCTGGCCCGTCACCCAGCTGGCGGGCAGCTCTGCCCAGAAGCCACCTGAAGGCTCTCAGGGCTGGCTTTAGGAGGAATTAGGGCAGGATCAGATGTAATTAAGAGGCGACAAATGAGGACGCTCTCCTCTGACCTTCGGACAGGAGGGAGCCAAGTGACTGGTCCCTGACCCCTTAAGCACTTAATTGGGTTTTGGCGTGCAGTGCTCCCACCCTGGCTGGCCCTCAGCCCCACACCTCGGCCAGGCAGGCGCTGGGGGTGACGTGTGATGGACCAAGTCCATTCCCACCCCATTCACTTCATGGCTCCCCCAGCCCATCTTCCTGCTCCCACCAGCGCCATCACCACCAGGGCTGGGTGCTCCCCTCTGCTTCCCCCTTTCCCTCGTGCCTCCATCCCCTCTCTCCCCACTTTCCTCCCGCTCCTCCTTTTCCCTCCAGCTCCCGTATCCCTCCTCCTGCCAGACCAGCCTCAACCCGCTCCCCCCTTCCCGACTCCGGTAATCTGACAGGCTCAGACCTGCCTGTAATTCTCCATGGACGTGTCTCAGCCAGCTGATCCCGAGACCTTGTCTGCATCCTTCCCTCGCCCGGGCTGGGTTTGCCTCCTCCTCCCTGCTCTCCCATCGCTCAGCGGCACGCACACCTCTCCCCACGGCACAGCTCTGGCCCCACGGTCTCCCCCCAAAACCTCTGGGCCCCGTTCCAGTTTCTCACCGGGGAAGCCTTTCCCTTTCCTATAAGCTCCTTAGGTGTCCCCAGTGAAGTGCCTTCACACACCTTGTCCCAGCTCAGCCCTTTGCAATGCAAAACACGTCTTCTGGAGCCGAGTGACTTTGTAGGTTTAGGTAAGAGGACAAATAGGAAAGAAACCTCTGAAAGAGAACGGGAGAGGGGAACACAGCCGTGTGTGCGCACATATGCACATCTGGGATAACACACACACGTAGGGTTTAACGGCACATGAAGGTCCAGACCCAGGGAAGAGCCCTGGAGCATGCAGAGAGCAGCAGGCACTGGCTTCCCGGGCATCCATGGGTCAGTGCTCCCGTGGGGTTTTGCCCCGACGTGGGGTTTTGCCATGAGGGACCTCAGGTGAATGCTCTCCGCTGCCCCACATCGACACCGCGGCAGCAGGCTCTGAGCTCTGGAGACCCTCAGGGGTCTAACACTGGTGCTCACCAAAGTCGGGATGTGTCTCCCTTCGGGGCCGTGTCCAGGGGGCTGCACGCAGCCCTGTGGGTTTCTCTCTCTTATGCCATGCCCCAGCTCTGGTTTGGCCCTGGGGCTGCCACGGGGCTGACGTGGGATGGATGCAGGCTGCATCAGAGCAGCCGAGGAAAGCCCCAAGTTGGGCATTCCCGTAACACAGCTGGGAACCAGCTTCCCCCTGCAAAAGTATTTTGAAATCAGATCCGAATCCAAGCAACCTATGTCGGTCCAGGCTTGATGACTGGTTGGGTCTGAAAGAGAAAGCAAAGCTGAGCTTTCCAGGAAGCCTGGCTTTCCATCCCCGGCCAGCTGGGGCCAGAGGTGGCCCCCAAGCCCAGCCACGGGGCCTGGAATGGCTGTGGTTAATCCCCTCTTAGTGGACACGTCCTCTTAAAATGCTCCAAACCCTAAAAACAACAGTCATGAGCAGCACTTGAAATGTCAGTAAAACCAAATCCCTCTAAACTCGTCCAGTAGACCGTCCCCATCCCTGAACTTGGGGCCGGCTGGGGGCAGAGGGGACAGATCCGGCCTCGCTGCTGGCACCAGCGGGATGGGAAGCCTTCAGGAGAGCGGTGGAAGAAACATCCCAAGCATCTCCTGCTGCCAGATGGAAACGAGAGTGAATAATTTCTTCCCGAGTGGAAGTCAGGCCAGCGGGTGCGGAGCTGCCTTACGCAAGGCACCGGGGAGCGCGTGGGGCGGCCGAGCCCGACGTCCCGGCCAGCCACGCTGGAGCACGCTGGGCTCCCAGGAGCATGTTTTGGTATGCTGTGAAGCCATTGAAGCCAAATAAACAGCGGCTGCTGGCTGAGCTGGAGCCCAAGAGGCTGGAAGGACCTTCTTTTCCCTGGCAATAGGCAGCGTAGCTTTCGTAATCCCTGGGAGGACGTCGCTGCTTGCAGAGCTTTTTCCCCTCGCTGAGACCCAGCCGGGCTGACACCGGGAAGGTCTTTGCTCTCGTGCCCCAGATGCTGTCTGAGGTCTTGAGAAAGGGCTTTCTTATAACCGTACGGTCCTCCATAACCTGACAAAGGACCATAACTCGGGTCCCTCCACCGTGTCTCCATGGGCACCAGCCCTGGGTGCTCCCCCGGTGCGAAAGGGAACGCGGTGCCGGGGCCAATGCCTAAGCGCTGGTCCCTCCGCTCGCTTGACATTGGGTCACCTCACCAGCCAAAACTCGCCCTGTGCAGGAGCGTATCACTTCCAAACAGTCTTGATTGACGCTGAGAGATGCTTGGTTCAAAGGCAAGGTAATGTGAGCAGATTAGTTAATGCTTCTTGCCCTGGCCCTTGAGAGCAGGGCTGGAACGGCAAGGCAGACTTAATGGCTTTTGAAGGCTTTTCTTTTTAAGATATGAATCAATGAAGCTGTACGGGGAGCATGGATAATGTGATCGGAATAAGAAACAGGGCTTGTCTTTGAACCGGAGCGAGGTCCCTGACGGTGTTTACTTCATGTCCTGGCACCAAATGCAAGATGACATGAATATATTAGCTTGCTGGCTTTCCTGAGCAACCCTTGCCACGCTCAGACCAGCTTCAGGAAGGAAAAGAGCAGCAAAGAGAATCTGTTTGGAAGTGTCGACTTGTTTTCCAATAACCCTGTCAGCCTCGCTTACCGCTGACGGGTCCGGCCGTGACAGGGGCTGTGCTCTCGGGGGGGCGGCCGGTTCCTGCCGGTGGGAGAGCTCAGCACGGAGGGCGAAGGGGAAGGTGGTGACACCGGAGGCTGCTCAGGGTCCGAGGAAGTTTAGCAGCTGGCTGATGCCTGGCCCGTGCAGCCCCACGGTGCTGGATCCGTCACCTGCTTCTTGAGCAAGCGCCTCTTGCTTCATCCCTCCCAGTTGCATCACAAGGTTTCAGTTTCCTCAAATCCCGGGGTGGGGGTTTTTGCAACACTTCCCAGGCCGGGACCAGGTCGGTGCGGGTGGGAAGCACTCTCCAGGGCTGCCTCAGCAGCATCTCGCCCTGCCCTGCCTGCGAGCGCCGGGCAGCACCCAGCCCTGCTCCCAGCGCCTCTCCGCTTCCTTTTGTTCCCCTGGATTTCCCAATCCTTGGGGTTGATTTGTTGTTTTGGTTTTTTTTTCAGATTGTGTGGGTTGGTCGGGATTTTTGTAGGAGGGAGGTGGAAAGCCGACACAAAGTTCGGGAAGGTCACGGGGAGGCTGCGCTGTCCCCGTCTCACCCACCCGCCCGCTGCTGCCGAGGGTCCTGCCTGGGTGTCTTCACCCTGTGCTGCCTTCCCGGGCATCATCACCCCGGCACTGCTGCTGTCCCAGTCCCCAGGGCGATGTCCCGCACCATCCTGCTCCCGAGATAGAGGTTGGGGTGGCCCCAGGGGTTGGGATCCCCTCTGGGAGCTGGGGGCTGGGTCCCACTGGGGGGTTTGCTCTGGTGGCATCGCAGACCTCGGTCTCTGCGTTAGGCTGCATGCGTTGGACTTCGACGCCAGCACAGACGAAACCTTTTTCCATGTCAGAAGGAGAGCCTGGGCTGCTTTGGTTTAAGCACATTCCCCACCAGCTCCGGCAGCACCGCCTGAGGTCTGGTTTCAATCAGAGGAGGAATGTCTGCCCCCAGCTCTGCGCTGCACACGCAGCACGGGTTTCACTTCCCCGCGGCTGCCCGGGTCCGGGACGGGGGGACAGTGGCTCCCCGCGCTGTCCCCTCCCTGGCCCAGCTCTTCCCAGCCGTGTTGAGGATATGGAGCTGGGGGAACGCCAATCTCTCAATACTACTGGTCTTTACGAGTAAATTAGCAACTGAGCGTCCCAGCGATGTGGACAACGGCGGCATGATTAAATTGGGGGGTCCCACGATGTCCTACGTGGGCTCACCGCCCCCACACGATGGAGACGCAGGCAGTGATGCAACCCCAGCTGGATCTGGTAGAGGGAGGGGGGGGTCCTATTGGCTGTAGCCCCCCTTTTAGCCCTCTGACACGTTGTCCTCCAGCCTGTTCCCGCAGTGACGGCTGTCAGGCCACCGGCGCTGCCGATGCAGAGCTGGAGCATCGGGATTGCGCACGGGTCTCCTGGGATCAGAGAAGCCGGGGGAAGGAAACCTGCAATAAGTACAAAGCATTTATACAGGCTTTAGGCTAAATCCTCCCCTCCCCGGGTAGCAGGCACTGCAAAGCCGTTTTTCTAAAGTCTTGTTATTCCTTTTCAGGCCAGGACTTTGCAGTTGGCAGCAGGGCTGGATTCGGAAGGGGGGGGGGAGAGAGAGGCACTGCACGCTGGGAGCAATGCTGGTTGAGCCGGGCTGGCAACCGGGGGCTTCCATTCAGCAGCGTTCGGGGTGACAAGTCCAACATCTCCGGGTGAGATAGCGCAGGAGCCCGGAGCGGCTCTGGGAGGAGGACGGAGAAGGAACAACCAACCTGGCACGCACGCGTGTCCTGCGATAGCCCTCGGCCACACCGATGGGGGCAAAAATGACAACGAGCCCTATCGGCATCTTCCACCTCCCGCCCCGTCCAGCTCAGTGGGAACAGGGGCAGAGTCAGGGCTGCTCTTCTGGACGCTTTACCCCACCGAGGCCTTCAGCCTTATTTCTCTTAAAATCCCAGGACTGCTCCTTTTCTGGTCAGGTCGGTGTCTCGAGGCTCTGGAGGAGAGGTCCTTGCTGCACTCCCAGTGCCACACCAACACCGAGGGCTTGGGGCAGCTCCTGCCGCTCCTTCCCAAAGCTCCCGGAGGGAGGTCTTCCTCGGGCCACCCCAACTAATGGTGTTTGTCAGAAGGTCCCAGGGAGCTGGTTTTGCAGGGGACGCAAGAAGTCACCGGCTTTACTCCAGGAACCGAATAACGAGGCTGCCCCCACGGGTGAGGGAAGGTGGGCTCAGCCCCAGGGCTCTGGATTTGGGGTTTCCACCTTCGCCCCAGAGACAGTGGAGGAGTCAAGGGTGGGGATCTGCCATCATCCACATCCCACACGCCGTAGAGCTGAAGTCTCGGGTTTTTTTGCCTTCACCTCCCACTCGAGGATCGGGAGCCAAGTACATTTGTCATTGCACCCAGCGCGCGGGGAGGAGGAGAGGCGATGTGGGAGGGCACGGGGGGAGTGGGAGAAGCCGTCGGCAGTGGGATGCAGACCCCGCAGGAGCACGGCGTGCCACAAGAAGAGGCTCTGGGATCCTGGAAACCCATCCTCACCCCCTGTGGCCCTGCAAAGGGAGGATGGCTTGAAGAGGCACTTGATCCCTCCCTGCCGTGCAGAAGCTGTGGGAGGAGAGGGCTCAAGCTCAAGCAGGGACGGGCCCCACTGGCACGACTGGCACCGTGCTGCCACCCTGTCATGGGGACAGGTCCGTGGGAAGGAGGTGGAAAGCAGGAGATGCTCAACTGGAGAGGGGAGAGGGATCAGGGTGTTGAAATGAATCGGGAACTGAGAGAGATGGAGTGATTTCTTCCGTACGGATTACCCAGGCTGATCCCATCTCAGCCTCCCTGCTGGCCATGGGGACCGTGTCCTCTGCCCCCATCCCTGAGCCCCATGGCCCTGGGCCACTCTGCCACGGCAGTGGGCACGGTGCTGAGCTCCCCTCTGGGACAGCAGGCAGCTTGGGCTGGGCCGGGCGAGCTAATGCCATCCTGGTCCTCAAGGGCTGCCACCTCCCTCACCACAGCACCTCGCACCAAAGGGACCGGAGTGTCACCAGCGTCACTATGGGGTCGGACAGGCTGGCAGGGCAATGCTGCCTGCCTGCCAGTGCGGTCCCCAGCCGGGATTTTGCAGCAATGGTGTCAACGCAGCATCTTTCTCCTTCTGGAACCAGTCGCCTCCTAACCCCGAGCCCTCGAGAGCAATAGTCACGGGAAACCATGGAAACGGGCGGCTGGCGCGTGACAGCGTGTGGCTGCGCTCCTGCCCCTGATTTATGTCCCACATCTGGGACAAGATGCAGAAGTTCAGGGCTTTTGGGGTTCATTTGGGATTTTGAGGCAGCAGAGCATCTCTGGCGCTTCGCTCACCGTCTCCTGTTTGCGGAGCGGGATGGCACGTGGGAACGGGGCTGGGCTCCTGCCAGCGCCAGATGTGATGTCCCCAAAGGAGGGGGGGGGCAGAATCCTTGAAAAGGCCGGGGGATTTCTCCCTTACTTTTCTAATATTTTCTAATATTTCTAAGCGGAGACTCTTGAGCCAAGACCCTGTGACTCCCGGTGCCAGGGAGCGAGGCGAAGCGCCCGCTGCAGCCAGGCTCACCGTGTAACTGGGTACCGGGCTGGGAGCCCCGTATTGACTCTGGCACAAGGTACGAAAGCTTCAAAGAGCCCTTAAGCGATAACTTAACCAATGCTCCACCAAGATTATCGCCCAAGCCTTCATATTTGAAGGTTTTTCCCCTTTTTGAAAGCGCTAGTGCTGCATTGCAGTTTTGCTCTGGTTTTAAGCCGGGTCTAAGCGCAGCGCTTCTTCTTCTGCATTTTTAAGGGAGGGCAGTAAGCTCGGCCATGCCATCCTGGGAACAGAGGGCTTTCTCTGCTGCGTGGTGGCCACCTGGGGACATTGTAGTTAATATTTGAGCTTGGGCTCACGGGTGCTCATCCCGGTGGATAACGGACAGAAGGAAAATTCCAAACTTTAAGCTGGCTGGTGAAAATCTGATGATTTGGAAGCTGACGGTGGTGTTGTTGGAGACCTGAATGATGCCCGACCTCCAGCTGGGTAGGGTTGGCCACGCTGCTGTGTTGGCACACTGGTAGGTTCGGCAGCTCCTGGGTGAGCTGAGCTTTGTGTCCCCAAACCGAGGGGTTCACGGATGTGTGGGGCTCCCGGTCTGTCCCAGCACAAATTCGGTGGGAGATCTACAGTGGGGGACCTGTGGGCAGCATCTTCTCCACCAGCTCTCGTTAAATCTGCAAGAGCAATTTTGCTGGCACCGCCAGTCTGGCTGCTCTTAACCCAGGCTGGTTTTGAGGAGAAATACAGCTTTTTGCCTCCACAGATCTGCAATAACAAAGCTCCAGCCCCAAAAAGGGGTTCAGCCACCCCCCAGTCCCTGCCTGCCCGGGGTGTCAGAGCTGCACCTCCAGCCCGTCTGTCCGTCTGTCTGTCTGTCTGCCCTGCCAGGGTGCGGGAGGCGGCTGTGCACACCAGGCTGCTTCTCTTGTCTCTCATCCCCCTCTGGGGGATTGTTGGTTATTACAAGTCTCTGTAGTATTTTCCTTCTCTCTGTGCAAATGGACTGTGCTGCGGGTTTAATATGCCGGCTTGTCAGGGAGCTGAAAATGGCATTTGGGTAAAAAAAAAAAAAAACAAAAAAAAAACCAGCCCAAAAGCACACACACACACACACACGAAGGCAGCGGCGAGCCTGGCGTGAAGGTGTTTCCGCACTCCTCGTCCCTGCCAAGATGCTGCCAGGAGCGGTGCGATCGCAGAACAACAATAATATATTCGTTTCACGAGTGCCTTAACTCCGGATCGCTTCACAATTGGGTCCTGCCACGAGAAGGGAGAACAAATTCTCATCATTAAAAAAGACCCCGTGGGACAGACCGGGATGTCTTTTGGGTGGCAGAGGGATGCTGGTGGGTGGGGGTACCTCGCGCTCCCGGCTCTGCGTGCAGCCCCCGGATCAGAGGCAAGCGAGGGTCTGTCCTTCGAAAGACAACCGCCTGCAAAATAAGGGAGTGCGAAGGGCAGAGCCGAGGCAGAGCTCAGCGCAGCCAGCGGTTGGGATAACTTTAACTCAGCACTTTGGATTCTGAATCTCCTCTGAGCTGTTTACAAGGGCTGAAAAAAAAAAAACAAACCCACAACCAACTTCCAGCCCTACCTTCCCCCACCCCCCCTCAGCACCGTCCTGATGTTGCCCAGAACATCTCCCTCATCCCTCCCTTTCGGGGAGGAAAAAAAAAAAGGGAAGGAGGGAGGAGTGGGAGAGAGGAGGAGAGAGGGAGAAAGTGAGCTCACGTTCACACATTGGTGAAGAGGCTGGTCTCGCAATGCCTTTGAATATTTTACTTTTAGGCAGTTCCCCATCAGTCAGCCACACGCATCCGAGCCGAGCTGAAGCTAACTACAGCCATGGACAGCACTAGGAGATCTGAAATCTAATCGCATGCATCATACCTCCGGGATATTTTTTTAAATTACATATATAAACACGCCGACAGGCAGCCGCGCTCGCACACACACATATACATCCACACGTCGGCAGAGCCGCCAGCACCCGCACGGCCGCTGAGCAAACACCTTGTCTCTTCTCGCAGGATATACCCGCTCACACACATCTCTCTTTATCTCCTCCTGGCTTCCCGGAGGATCGTGCCGGCTGTTTTTCATGGAGAAAGTCCAGGGAGAAATGGAGATTGAGAGATGGGAAAGAAGTGAAGAGATTTCAGACGCAGAAAAAAAGGTTATTCAAGAGACATGGAGCAGAGTATATGCAAACTGCGAGGACGTTGGGGTCTCCATACTCATCAGGTATTTAAAAAAAAACAAAAAAACAAAACCAAAAAAAAAAAAAGGAAGCAGCAAATCCAACTAAATCTCTTTACAGCTGAGAAAGAGGCAGAACAATATATATAACCGAAGGGGAATGAATGACAGGGAGTGGGGAGCTGGCTGGGTGCATTCGCTGCCTGGGAGCAGGGAGGGTTTCACAGCACTCCTCTGATTTCCACACCTTTGAGCCGGGTGGCGGCGGCGGGGGGGAGCGGGGGGAGCCTTGCCGGGGACTTTGGGGGAAGCTGCTTCCCTCGCAAAGGTCACCTTAGCCGGCGGACGGAGCTGGGGGGGCCGTGGAGGCTGGGGGGGGAGCAGG